AATCAAACAATAAAGTGATCACGTCTGCAATACCAATTCATTTCTAATAGCTTCATCATTTTTGAAGTCTCAATGGATAGGTAATACAACCACAACATAACATATTTTGTCTTCCCTATCACCAATACACAACCCACACTATGTCTACAGAGCCTCTATAGATAAAGAAGAGTATAATGATAATGCCGGCAACAAGGCCCCGGCTATACCCCAAACAAAATACACAAAGAACAAAGGATTCATGACCCCGGAATGAAGTGGCACTCACCAAGTCAGCTGGGAAGAAGGTGTACTGCTATCACTGATCAATGTCTCCTGCTGTGGAACCACCTGCATCCATTTAAAGATGCAGCGCCCCCGGCAAAAGGGACGTTAGTACCGTCGAATAGTACTAGTATGAAAACTAAACACCAATTTAAGAATTTAGAAATACAAGATAATTATGATGAACCAGTGCGGCAATAGAATAATGTAGATAACTGTCTCAACCATAGCAAGCTTATTAAAAGCTATCAACAACATTTATAGGATTTAAGATGAGATCCTATGTAACCATCTTCACACAAAGCGGCCCCGCCGCCTCACCCGATGTATGCAGATGGAGGTGTACATACAATACCACAACTCTAATCAAGCGGCCCTGCTGCCTCACCCTAATGTATGCGAGTGGATATATAACCACAGTACTAAGAACTTACACAAGGTGACTATGCCACCTCACCCCAATGTATGAGGGTGGATATGCATCAGTGATACCAATACCAACACAAAGAGGCTATGCCGCCTCACCACAATGTATGCGGGTGGAAGTGCATCAACGATACCAATACCAGCACAAAGCGGCTATGGCGCCTTACCCCAATGTATGCGGGTGATGGTGCCACAACAATACCAAAACTATACACAAAGCAGCTATGGCGCCTTACCCCAATATATGCGGGTGATGGTGCCACAACAATACCAAAACTATACACAAAGCGGTCGTACCGCCTCACCCCAATGTAAGCGGGTGGAGGTGCAGTCCCACAATACCATAATCCCTACACAAAGCGGTCATGCCGCCTCACCCTAATATATATGCTGGTGGAGGTGTATCACAGTCACAATCTCTATACCATAATCCCCACACAAAGTAGTCATGCCGCCTCACCCCAATGTATGCAGGTGGAGGTGTATCACAATCATTATCTCTATACCATAATCCCCACACAAAGCGGTCATGCCACCTCACCCCAATGTATGCGGGTGGAGGTGTATCACAATCACAATCTCTACATCATAATCCCCACACAAAGCGGTCATGCCGCCTCACCCCAATGTATGCAGGTGGAGGTGTATCACAATCACAATCTCTACACAACTTAACATAATACCTTTCACATAAATCACGACTAGAAATTATAACATGTGGATACGTAATCCATGGTTTGGGACCCATCCTCAATTTATAATGCAATATGATAAGAGCATTTGAAATACGAATTGGACATATATGTTCATCACAAAACGTATCGAAATACTCGATTTATAATCAACATCTCGGAACTCACAAGGATAATGAGAATTCCAACTCTTAAAGAAGAGCTTAGCCAACATACCTCAAATTCTTCCCTTAATGATACTACAACGATGCACTACACTATTCAACTTCAATCTATAATAACAACATCCAATGAGATCAATATTAGTAACAAATCCCATAGGTTCAATGTATTCATAAATTTCATCGCCAGGATTACCATTCACCTTCTCCCTTATTTTCTCAAAAGTACTATTCATGCCATGAAATAGATTTTTATAATCCAATCTTTCAACCCTTAAAACTTGCAACAAATTCTTCAAATAATTCTAACTACTCATATTAAACGAGTTTGAAGCATTGGAATTACCTCTCGTAGATCAATCTTAAACAATCACAACTTTGGTGGTTTTTGTGTTATTGAGGATTTGATGATGAAATCTTGTATTTGGATGTAAGAATGATGTTAGAAATCATGTATATTGAGTAATAATCAACCCAAAACATCATTAACAGCTTACCTTGGTTGATTGGACTTGATTTGAGCTCAAAATCGTTCCTTCACCTCAAGAACCCTAACCCCCAAATACTCAAAATATCCCCCTTCCCCGACCTTGTATTTATAGGCCCAGATTTCTGGGTTTCGGATGCGGCCCTGGATGCTTCGCATCCCCACTTCACTTCTCTTTGAAGCTCGGATGCGGACCCGAATGCTATGGCAGCACTTCACTGCCAGCCTCTCTTTCGGACGCGGCTTCGAATGCTTCGCATCCGCAGGCTCCTCCGCCAGCCTTTGGTAATTTGATCATAACTTCTTGTAGGAATGTCCGAATGACAAACGGTTTGAAGCGTTAGAAACTAGACTCAAAGGGCTTTAAATTTATAGGTAGATAACCTCATAAGTCGTTATACTTTGGTTTCAGCATACGTTTCAAGTAAGATCTTGTGCGAATTGAGATATCCTTTCCACTTAATATATCCTACTTGTTCCACACGAATTCTTTCCATTCATAAAACTCCTTAGTATGTTTCAACACACCTTAAACATATACATTTCATTTCAAAATAATATGGTTCTATCCCATGGGTCTCCTTTAATACTCTAACACGTTATTCCCAAATACCGTTGGCGTACTTTAAAATATTAAATCGTTAGAAAACATTTCCGGGGCCTTACAGCAAAGTCCAAGACAACAAAGATATGACTTAAGGAAAAGAAAGAGGAAACTCTAAAAATTCACAAGGAGGAGAAAACTTCTGCAAATTGGGATAAAAATCCAAAAAAGGTAGAAAACTCCACAAATTCAAAGAGGAGGAAATCCAACAAAAGCAGGAAAAAATTCTGCGAAGCAAGAGAAACCTCAAAAGAAAAAAGAATAAAAAAGAAGAACCTCCGAAAAAGGAAGAAGAACTTTCGACAAGTTCAAAAGAAGTCCAAGCAAAGAAACGGACATCAAGGAAAACGAGATCAAGCGCCGAAGCATGGTTTTAATGTCGAAAATACGGATACAGTGCAGTTCTCAAAGAGGGATTAGCCACTTTCATCCTAAATGAATATCCTTCCCGTCCCCAAGCCTATATTACAAGCCAATGACAAATCCCTACATGATCCTATTCCAAGCATTCTCACATTAGTGGATACATAGCTGAACCTTGGGCTGAATGAAGTGACGAGCTCGGAAGAAAGGTCACTATCCAAAATCAATAATCAACAACAAATTAGGGTACAATGAAAACGGTACAAGTAAATAACTCAGAGATATCATGTTCAGCTCGTTCACAAATATGAAAAATTTAGACATGCTTTCAAATTGTACAGTCAAAGCCCAACACATATAAGACATTTCATTTACTAGCTAGCATTAGAAAAGTACATCTCTATGCCTACATGCCAGATATACATGTCAATCAATTCCATCACGGTGAAACTATTAAGAGTAACCGCACTCAGCCCACTCACAGTGCCTAGCATAATGCCCCTCACCATCACATATAACTACTCTCAGCACTGTACGGGTTCCTGGCATAATGCTCATCACCATAGCACGTATATATCATTGTTCTTGCCATCACTGTAATATCAGATTCCAGAGGGGCGGATCCTAGCCCAAGCGCTAATCAATATCATATAGTTCAATAGTGATGCCTGGTGCACTCTTCGCCCCTAATCAGTGCTAATTAGCCCAATATGGGCCTAGAGCACACATCACCTCAAAATCAATATCACATCGGCTATGTGGCCCAACTCAGTCATCAACTGCACAAGTCTCAATTAACCACATCTTACAGTACTCATTTCAACGGTTATACATATGAGGCATCAACAACATGTGAGAAATCAAAATTAGAAAAATACTGAGATGGAGATATCATACACGGATATAGCATCATGATTAAGAGTATGTATGCAATTAGGCAAGTAGCTCAAAACAACAAGAATAGCCCTATCATGTCTAAAATAATTATGAATCAGATCTAAAATAATCATACAGGTATAGAAAACAAAAGTGTAACAGGGCATTTAGCAGAACAAGTCTCATAATAGACTAAAATCCGCCGGGATCACGAATACCCGGTGCACACATATGCGCCCATCACCTAGCACGTGCGTCACCCCCAAAACATCTCAATTATATAGTTCTCAGGGATAATTATTCTCAAATCCAAGTTTATATATGTTACTTACCTCAAAATATGCAAATCAATAGTCCAAAAATCCCTTCCCATGCGAATCTTCCTCTGAACGACTCGAATCTAGTCACAAACAACTTAATATCATCAAATAATGCCGTAGGAAACAACCCCAAAAGATAAAGCTTCGATCTTTACCAAACTTAAAAAGCCAACCCAAAATGTCAACCTTGGGCTCGCATCCTGAAACACGACAAAACTCACAAATTACGAACACCCATTCAAATACGGGTCCAACCATACCAATTTCATCCAATTCTAACCTCAAATCGACCTTCAAATCATCAAATTTCATTTAGAAATATTTTTACTAAAATTTCTAATTTCTTCACTTAATTTCACCAATTAAATGCTAAAAACAAGGATGGATTCATGGAATATAAAGAAATCCGAGTAAAAAATATTTACCCCAATCTGAATCGTGAAAATCCCATCCAAAATCGCTTGAAAACGAGCTCTCTAACTCAAAATGTGATAGAATAACCAAAACCCTCGAAATAAAGTACTTAAATATTCTGCCCAGGCATATGCATCGCGATCGTGGAACCATTATCGCGATCGCGAAGAACAAACTACAAGCTTCTCCAAAAGACCCTACATGAACGCAAGGCTAAGGCCGCAAATGCGAAGCACAACACACCCTGATAGTACACAAATGCGGGAGCCTGTGATCGTGGAGGCTTATATCCAGACGCCCCAAGACGACCTCCCTTCTACCCGAACGCATCAAACCTCATGCGATCAAGAAGGCCACTGCCTCCCAAAGCATCACAAATGCGAAGAACAACTCGCCTTCCATCAAAAATACCCTACGCGCAGAAGAAAACCAGACATTAGAAATCAGCAATGCCAAAACATGGAGAAATGGTCCGAAACATATCTGAGGCCTCCGAGATCCCGTACAATCACAGAAAATAATCTCACAACATAATTCGGACCCACTCGAGGCCTCAAATCACAGAAACAATAGCAAACCCACGAATCGCACCTCAATTAAAGCCTAAGGAAACTAATGAATTTTCCAAATTCAAAACATACAAGCCAAAATAACTCGGAATGACCTCAAATTTTGCATGCAAGTCCCAAATGATACAACGGAACTTTTTCAACTCCCGAAACAAAAATCTGAACCCAATATCAACAAGGTCAACCCTTGGTCAAACGTACCAACTTTCAAAATCTTCAACATTCCAACTTTTGCCAAAAAGTACCAAATCAACCTACAAACCTTCAAATCATCATCAGGATATGTGCCTTAGTCAAAATCACCATACGAAGCTATTGGAACAATCAAAACTCCATTCCGGAGTCGTCAACATGAAAGTCAAACTCCGGTCAACTATTTCAACTTAAGCTTCCAACCTTGGGACTAAGTGTCCCGATTTATTTCAGAACTTCTACGAAATAAAACCAACCACCCAGGCAAGTCACTTAACCATAAATACACATAAGAAAAGCATCAAATAGGGGAAACATGGCTATAGTACTCAAAATGATCGGCTGGGTCTTTACACCGCATAACATTCAAAGTCAGCTCCGACAACTTCGGAACGGTAACTACCAGCCCGTCTAGCATTCAAAGTCAGCTTCGATGATGTCAAAATGGTAACAACCAGACCGTCTAACATTTTGAAGTCCAAGTCAGTCAAATTTTACATGACCTCTTGGATAATGAGAATTCCTAAGTCAAAGTTCAAATTTTACAGGACATTCCTGGATAATTGGAACTTCAAAGTTAAAGTTCAAATTTTACAGGCACCCACATTCTAATGCGGGTATTTCAGATTTTACAACTCCGATTCTACAAGCGGCCACCTTCTAATGCGGGTATTTTCAGACTTTACAACTCCGATCACTTCGGACCGGTACCTAGCTCGGATTTCATTCAAAAATGCTCTGATCACTTCGGACCGGTATCCAACCCGAATTTCTTTCAAAATCAAAGTGCTCCGATCACTCCAGACCGGTATCTAGCTGAGATCTCTTTCAAAATTGGAATTTTCATCAGGGTCTCGGCACACCAACCTGGGCCCCTATTTCATTACAAAAACATATCATTCTTGCATCAAATCCACAAGAATTATTCAAGCCACTACAATCCATCTTCCACAAGTGAAAACGAAGCTAGTCCACAGCTCGTAAACTCTACAAATCGAAAGACGCAACATAAAGTGGAATTATCTTCTAACATTAAACTGGAGCAGCTTTTGAGGACGGACTTCGAGCTTTCCAAAAGCAGTCGATGACATATTCCCAAGTATCATTCATCTTACGCCCATTGACATAGGGTGTGTACGTAATCCAAACACCCACAATCAAAATAAAATCCAGTGTCATCACAGCATGACGCTGGGGCAGTTTCAAAATCAAAAATCAAAATCAGTCCATTTTTTCTAGAGCTACAATCGGCCAAATTCTCGTTACACTTAAGATATGTAGGAAACTCGACATAGAGTTCGGCCATACCCACAGCAAAGTCCTTTCAAACCAATCAATCCATCACATCCAACATCCACGTCCCGGTATCACCACAATCCGACGACACCGGGGCAATCTTGGAAGCATTGTCGGGTCACACAAATCATTTTCATCCTCGAACATTTGCATCCTTTTTCTTTTACTCCATGAGGCTACAATCAACAAGTAGTACTCAATTGCATTCCAGAACTACACGCGACCTGATTTTCGTGCATCCCGAGATATATAGGTAACTCAAATACTAGAATTCTGTCACAGTCTTCAAAACCTCCTCATTATCCACGTTGTCATGTCAGGATAAAATTGAGTATGACGTCAATTTCTTTGTCTGAAGACTCTTACATCATCTCCGGTCAAAGAAGAGTAGCTATTGACACTCAATTTTCACCCTCCATATTTAAAAATTAACTTTTGCAGGCTTCCTAGTAAAAAATAATAAAATATAGTCTTTTGCATATTTTTTAGCTTTATTGCAATTTATTGGTAATTATTCGTGTTTTTGCAAAATGTAGAAATTGTTATTATTCCATTGCAATTAGTTAATACTACAATTTTTGTGTATTTTTCTAAAATTCAAAATAATTTATTAATAATTGTCCTTCTTTTCAAATACTAGGATTTTCTATCAAGGTGTTATCCTTTAAAAATAAATAATAATTACTATAATATTATTTTAGTAGTTGGCATTTTAATTAACATTACAAGCCGTATTTTTAAATTAAATAATCATCTTTCAATTTGTAGCACAATTTATTAATTACATAAAAGTTGGTGGAATTTATTTAAAATACGGATCAAGACCAGTCAAATCCAATGTCCTATCAATATTCGATATGACAAGACATCTTGATGTGACAAATCACTTGATGTGACATGACTCCCTTTTATCTAATAAAATATTTTTACCAAATAGGTAAAGACCATTTTTTTGTCTTCTCCTATAAGCTAGATAAATTACAATGATATACATACATACATACATACATACACAGATAGTAAAAAGAGTACTCGGTATTTGGCCCATAGTTTTGCCGATGATTTTGAATTGGTGGTTTTGCTCTTGACACATAAATGCACTATACACTACTCCATCATATGTTTTAAGCTAGAAACCCTAAATATATTTTGTGGGCTCTCTCATTTTGGGCAAATCAGTTGCCCCTCCCTTCACCCCTTTTGTTCTCTCTCCCATCTCTCTCAAGCTAACCAGTCGCCGCCGCCGGAATTGATCACTGGTTGTGGAATAACCAGGTAAACACTAAGAATCACTGATTGTATTACTCAATACAATCCGCAATTACAACAACCCAAATAATTATAAAAGAGTACTAAGCTAGACTTAACAGAGAAAGGAATGAGGAGAGAAATTACAGAGTAAAGGGGATGAGAAGAGAATTTGCAGAGCAGAAGGGGATGGGAAAGAGATACTTAATGCACCAGAAAAATTCCCCATTCCCCTTCGCTACACTTATTCTTCCTATATTTATACTAACAACTAATAGAAACTCCAACCCCTCCTTCACGTAATCAGCGCACAGCTCCCACAACGAAATCTGTTAGCCTTGTTGAAGGCTTCTTCATGCACTTACTTCTTCTCATGGTCTCACTCTCCTGCTGAGTACTTGAGTCTACGTAAGCAACTGAGGTGTTTTCCACGTCATCTTGGTCGGTCACAACAATACCTTCTCCCTGAAAAGGAACCTGGTCCTCAAGGTTCAGAGATGGTCCAGGCCTACTATCAGCAACATCAGAGAGGTGCAAGGGAGTGATTTGTTGAGCTGGTTATCCCACACAACGCTTAAGCATAGAAATGTGAAAAACTGGATGGATTCGAGCAGCGTCTAGCAACTCCAGTTTGTAAGATACTTCCCCAATGTGCTTAAGGATCTAAAAGGGCCCAAAGTATCGTCTTCCTAGCTTGGAGTGCTGATGGAGGCGTATAGAATTCTGGCGATAAGGCTTCAGCTTCACATAAACCCACTCTCCAACTTCATAAACCAGTTCTCTTCGGTTTTTGTAAGCCCAACGCTTCATCCTATTCTGTGCTAGGACCAAATTAGCCTTTAGGATTGCCAAAATCTCATCTCTATCCACTAAATAAGCATCGACCACATCATTGGAGTTGCTGCCTAAAATATATCTCGCCACTGTGGGAGGATCTCTCCCATATAAAGCCCGAAATGGAGTCATGTCTGCTGATGCTTGATAGGACGTATTGTACCAGAACTCCGCCCAAGGTAACATAGTCACCCATTTGTTAGGAGCATCAGCAATGAAGCAACGCAGGTACTGCTCTACACATTTTGTTCAGAGACTTAGATTGACCATCAGATTGGGGATGGTATGCGGTACTCATTGCCAAGGTTGTGCCTTGGAGGCGGTTCAGCTCTTGCCAAAAGCTATGCAGGAAACGAGGATCTATGTCAGAGACAATAGACCTTGGGGGTCCATGGAGTCGAACAATCCCAATCACAAATGCCTCTTCCACTGAATTAGCAGTGAAAGAAGATGGTAGGGCAATAAAATGCCCGTACTTGGACAAGCGATCCACAACCGTCATGATAGTTGACTTACCCTTGGAATTGGGTAAACATGTAATGAAGTCCATCAAAATATCCTCAAACACCAAGGAAGGAATAGGCAGCGGCTGGAGCAGGCCTGCGGGCAACTAGTGTGAGTCTTTCATCTGCTAACAAAGTTGGCAGGCAGCCACAAAGCATTGAACATCTTTCTTCATACCTTTCCAAAAAAAAAATTGGAAGCAATTCTATGGTAAGTACGCGCAACACTGGCATGTCCACCCACTGCGGTGTCATGGAATTCATGGAGTAATGTTTGCCGCAAAGGAGAATCAGCAGGAATTACCAACCGGCCCCGAAAAAATAACAGTCCATTTTTGTAGGTATAACCCCACTCTTCGTTGGTATGATCCTAAATAGATTGCTGGAGAGCTACTAATTTGCTTAACCACTTTTGCTACTCCAGATTCTGAATTGTTTGGTTCTTGAGTGACTGCTGATCCGTATAGATGGTGAACTTCCTGCCCAACAAGTATTGTCGCCACTTGCTGACTGCTTGTGTGATTGCGAACATCTCCCTATGGTAGGTAGAGGCACCCTGCATTCTATTGCTCAGTTTCTGACTAAAGTAGTCTATTGGATGACCTTGTTGTGAAAGTACTGCCCCTATACCCTGCCCCGATGCATTCGTTTCTAGTTGGAATTCTTGATTAAAGTCAGACAAGGAGAGAACCCGAGTTGTACTGAGTTTGCTTTTGAGGGTGTCAAAAGTAGCTTGTTTAGTAGAAGTCCAAGCAAAAGCTTCTTTGTGCAGAAGGTCTGTGAGAGGCCCGGCGATTGCCACATAGTGATAGATAAACCGTCTATAATACCCGGCGAGCCCAAGAAAGCTGCGCACCTCCTTCACGTTTTTAGGCACAGGCCACTATTGATTAGCGGCAATTTTGGCTGGATCCACGCTAAGCCCTCGGTCAGAAATCACATGGCCTAAGTAGTCGACTGACATTTTGCCAAATAGGCACTTACTCCGTTTGGCCACCAATTTATGTTGTCGCAATAGGCCTAACACTGCCTTCAGATGCGTCAAATGCTCCTCCCAAGTTAGACTGTAGACCAGTATATCATCGAAAAACACTAGGACAAAGCAACAGAGATATGGCCGAAACACCTCGTTCATGGTTGCCTGAAACGTGGATGGGGCATTGGATAACCCAAATGGCATTACCAAAAATTCCTAATGCCCTTCATGTGTTCGGAATGTTGTCTTGGCCACATCTTTGGGACGCACTCGAATTTGATGGTAGCCCGCTAGCAGGTCAAGCTTAGAGAAGTACATAGCCCCGTGAAGCTCATCGAACAACTCATCGATTGTGGGGATTGGAAACCTATCTCGAATAGTGACCGCGTTCAATGCTCTGTAGTCCACGTAGAACCTCCATGTTCTATCGTTTTTGCGAACCAACAACACGGGTGATGAAAACGGATTGGTGCTAGCCCAAATTACACCTTCCTGAAGCATTTCAGCAACAAACTGCTCCATTACTTGCTTCTGGAAGTATGGATATTGATATGGCTTAACGTTAACTGGTCCTGATCTTGCGATTAAATGTATAGCATGATCTTGGGGTCGAGTTGGCGGTAATCCGTGTGGCTTCTGAAACACATCCTAAAATGAATCAAGAAGAGTTAGCAGGGCTGGATCCACATGCTTCTCCTGAACTAGCTCGGAAGGAAATATCTGTAGGCAATAGAAGGACGATATGACATCTGTAGCATTACAGTGATAAAGACTGTGCAATTGGATTGGTTGTGCACTGGGAGGTGCCAATCCCTTCCAAATATTAGTAGCCCCCTAATGGCTAAATTCAAATGTTCGTTCAGCATAGTCTGTGGTTATCCACCCTAAAGTTGAAAGCCATGCTGCTCCGAGCACAACATCTGCCCCATGTAAGGATAATACATGTTACAACCCAAATTCGCATACCATAGATCACACCGTAAGTTAGTCGACGTAAATCCAA